TCTAAAGTTCACTAGTTTTATCAATATTCAGTGCCATTATATTTTTAGTCTCTATAAAAGGCCAACCTGATTTAATTCAATAAATATTTGTCCTGACATTGCAGAGCCAAATTATCTCAAGAATGTTAATAATACCCGTTTAACCTAATTTTCATAAATAGATCTGGTACTTTAAACGCATCTCGAGTATAATCAAAGTGTGGGCGATTATAAATAATAGACCCTTAATTGATAAAAATGCAAACTTACGCAAAATAAATATGTTCAATCAGAAAGAACATAATTAATTGAAGTTGACAATTCCAGCCCCAAAAAGAGCTAATGTGGGTCGAGAAGGTCCGAAACAAAGACGGTACATTGCAATAATTTTAACACAGATCCGCGCTAGTTCATCGAATGTAAAAAAATCACACTGCTATTATACAAAATTAGGTCAAATCGTCCAAAAAAGACACTCAAAACTAGCTAGATGTTTTCACAATTTCCATTTTCCTTTTTCCAGCTCGACCACAAACTTCATAAAACATGAAACACAAACACTGCCTGCTGCAACGATTACCATTGGCTGCTTTGACAATTGACGTCAGTGGGCGTGACGGCTATCATTTTTGTCAAAAACAAAATCCATTGAAAACAGTGGCAATGAAAATTATTTTGTTGAAAATATTTTAAATTTTGAGGATCAGTATATTTTCTACAATCAAAAGTAAGTTCAATTTTATATCTAATATGGTATTTAATACACATAAATTAAAACCTATTTTTGAAACATAGATTTCTGTTTATATTTTAATGTTTGGTATGGTCCAATAGATGGCAATGTATACTTCGTATTGCAAAAAAAATTTGATCGATTAGTGGCTTACTGCTTGGTTTTGAATATCAATTTTCAACAATGTATTCGCTAAGAACAGGGTCTCACAAAAATGGAAGGATTGTTATTTAATTTAAATTATTTTTGTGAAATAATTCTAGTCCTAAATATGAACACATACCTAAGAAATATATAAACTAGGTAATAAGTACCCGCGATTCTTAAACGGAGGAACTAAGAGGAACTTCTGTACCAAGTTTCAAGATTAAGATTCTTAACTTTAAAATTAAAAGGCATGGGGATATGAAAACAACAAGAAGACATATTCGACTCAAATAGGGTTCTTCCTTTTACCAAGAGGGGCCTATGTAATAAATTTCAATACGTTAAGACTTTTGCTTCAAGAAAAAGAAAAGGCATAAAAATATGAGAAGAAAAAGAAGACCTATTTATGTAAACTTCAATAAAGTTCTTGAACTTCTACACCACTAAGTGGGACCTATGTACCATGTTTCATTACTCTAGGATTTCATCTACTTCCAGAAAGGAGAAATTAATATTAATAATCTATATAATTGTGAATACAATCTCTATTGTAAATTTTACATACGAATATACCCTTTATATAGTTATGCCTGAAGAGGGTTTTTTGGCATTAAAACACCTCGCTTGCCAGACGGGTTGGTGAGTTCTGTATCAGCCGCCCACTCTGGGTCAGACGCTGTTCGTAGCCGTCCACTCTGGATCAGACGCTACTGTTTTGCTAGTTTTGGTCCACGCCTGGTATTTCATTTCCCCGGTACCACACATATCTGGGAGGCATTCCCCTATCCGCCACCAGGGGACGCGCCCAATGGGGGACTATACCCCACGTGGGGTATAGTCCCCCAAACCAATGTATACCATAAGAGGTTCGCTGGACATACCATAAGACAGAAAGACGACAGATGGAATAAGATGATTATGCACTGGAGACCATATAGTTACAACAAAGGGAAGGCCACAAATGAGATTGTCAGATGACTTGAAGAAACACGCAGGCCCGAAATGGATACAAACTGACTACAATAGAGAGACGTGGAAGAAGGAAGGGAAGGCCTATGTCCAGAATTGGGACAGCAAGGGCTGTATAGATAGATAGATAGTTATGCCTTCAATTATTATTACAATTTGGGTCGCAAATATTAAAAAGAAAAATTCTGGAGTAAGGCGTTCATTTTGAACCTCGAAAGGACTAAATGACTTCAAATTGTGTGTCATTTTAGTAGTTTTGAACGTTTTTTGGTAGATATGTAGAAAACTGGCGATGAGAGTTGTCATATTTTTAAAAATGATTGTATTTATAAAACACATATGGCAAATTATAATTAAAAATAAATATTTGAATAATAAATATCAAATCAGTTGAGCGGGATCGTCAAATTCTAGAGATTTTGGTGAATGAAGTGAGAATTTTTGAGATGCATTACTTTATATAGTAAATTAGGATAGCTGCGTATATATTTTTTGGGTGCCGAGAAACACGACCAATTTCCTGTTATTTTTAGTACTCTTTAATGCAAATCACATTTTATTTAGCTGATCTTTCTTGACTACATCCATAGTTGCAATTCTTGGCACCTGCTGCATTGTTGCTGTAAGTTTCGTTCAATTCATCTCATTCTACCTTAGTTTCGTCGTGTTTTATTGTGAAAAACCACCTTTTGCTGTTTGAATAATGTCACTCAAGTATTTCGTACAATCCGTCATACATCCTTTGCATTATATCTCCAGAGATCAAAACCGTAGAACTCGGTTCTTTCGAGCAGGAATATGTACGTTCCCTTAAAGTGAAATCCTTTAATTAAAAACGGTAACAGATACAATATAAAAAATTATATAGGCCTGTCGTTATGTTATCTGCCATCCCTAAACTTTTTAAACCAATTCTAAACGAAATCTCACTTGCCATGGTAGAAATCTGTTGATGAATGAGCAACTTAGATTAGGAAGGGTAAATCAACTTCTGCGAATCTTGTTTTGTATCATGATTACTTTATCATTATCACATATCAGGGCTTTCGAGGATGGGCACCAAGTGGAAATCGATTTATATCAATTTCTCGAAGGCCTTTGACAGAGTAATCCATTCTTTGTCCATCTTTAAATTAATATGTATTGGCATTCATGGTTAATTAGTTATCTTGATGAAAGATTTCATTTTGTTTTTATAAAGGGTTCACTTTCGATTCCGATATTGGTCAGTTCAGAGGTCCCAGAAGGTTCACATGTGGGTCCTCTTTTCTTTAACTTGTGTTAATTAATGATATTTCTGAGGTAATGTATAGGTATATAATGTATATATTGAGGTTTGTCAATTTTTGTTATTTGCTCATGACCTTAAGCGATATACCAAAGTTTCAAACCTATCTGGCTGTCTAAGGATCTAGGAAGACCTGACTTCCCTATATAATTGGTATCAACCAATGGTCTCCAGTTGAATAAAGATAAGTGTTTTGTTATATCCTTTAGCAAATCTAAAAATAATGTTGTGTTTAACCATCACATTAGTACAAGCCTTCTCTCAAGAGTGATTGAAAAAAGAGATTTGAGGGTGTATTTGGCATTCCTTGTCATTTATCCCTCACATCAACAATTTGCCAAATAAAGCATACGGCTATCTATGTTTTATCGCAAGAACTCTTGAGATCTTTGGGTATCCATATATAGAGTTTTATATCGTACTTTTATCCGTAGCACAATGTCTTAAATTTCTATAGTATGGTTACCGTACTATTTTAACCATATTTACACGATTGAAAAAATCGAAAATAAGTTTCTCCGGATTTGTGCTCATAAATTATACTTAAAGAACATGTCTTTGGTGGAACTTATCTCAAGGGATCAGGTATCATGGAACCATAGCAATATATGGGGATGTATTGTACATAAAACACGACAACAAAGATGCCTAGAAACAAAAAACCAATATATAAAGCTGGTAAACAAGATCAGGCGAGATTTAACAGGTAGTGATAGGTAGATTAACACCCTCTCCATCAATAGCAATTTGCAATTGAAATATTCTTTGCTTTTGGTTGTCCTTTGCTTCACCGGGAATCATTATGATATATAATATAATTATGAGTGCTACCCAAATGTGTCGTATTTACATAATTATACATACACAATTTACATAATTGTACATAATGTTGTCATACATAATTAGTAGGTACGTATTTTGAGAGCTATTGCATTACTGTGTGATTGTTTGTTTTGAACCATTGTGAGGGCTATTTCGGTCTAACTTCGCCTTTCCATTTCTAAAAAAGCTATTTCAAGACTAATGAAGTGGTAAATATAGCTCAGAATTGAGTACATTTCATGGATAATTCAAAATCAGAGTAGTGTAAAGTCCGATAAAAATTTATTATGGGTTAAGACACTTTTTGTTTGTATTCTCAAAAATATGGGTGTACATTGTCTGCTATTGATCGAAAAAATAGTAGAGTGGTCGATAGTTTCTCTTTATTTAATCAGTTGCGGTATTTTATCTTTATATTATTTATACGGTTGTGATCTTTCATTCCTTTTAACCAGTTTCTAAAACATACTGTTTGATGTCTTATCTCTTTCATGATTTTAAAAACACAAAATTATAATCTAGTATACACAGAAATCAAAAGGCTAATGTAGTAGCATAAAATCTAAATGGCTCTTCTACTTAGACTAGAAGACGCTGTAATATCGATTATAATATAAATAGAATTTAAGTAGTTCACTTAAAATATATTTTCTATTAATTTTAAATAATTCAATTTAACAACGCAACAACAAAAGTGTATTCATCCTATTCTTTAATTAATGTGTAAATTCCTTTTCCTTCCTCCGCTACTGAGGTCAACTGAACAACCACAGCAGCATTACAATTGGATGAGTTCACAACAGAACAATTGATGATTGATCCCACTTAGCACTATGCCAGATTCAAATACCTAATGATAAATTGAAATGAATATGCGATAAATTTTGGTTAAAATTTTTTTAAAATAAAAAAAATATGCCGCGAATTTGACCAAAACACAAGTGTCCTTGACAGTAGAATTTTTTTTATTCAATCAAAGGGCACGTGACCTCTACATATGTGCAGCATTGGCCGAACGTGAGCGTGCCCTGCGCGGATTAATTGCGCAACAGTGAACACAAAATGCCGTCAGAGTCCAAACCTTTGTTGACAGCTCAAACAGAAAAGCCAAATCATTACTCGTAAGTGTATTTTTAGTGCGTGATTGTTATTGTGACGTAAACAGCAATCAATTTTGTGCATTTTGATTTGTTTTCTTTGTTAAAATATTGTGTTACTTTGTAGATATTTGAAAGAATTTCGGGTCGAGCAATGCCCGCTCTTCTTACAACACAAATGTACACAGCATCGACCATTCACCTGTTTTCATTGGCATTTTATGAATCAGAGGCGACGGCGTCCTGTACGTCGCAGAGATGGGACATTTAATTATAGTGCCGATAATTATTGCACAAAATATGATGAAACTACTGGCATTTGTCCCGATGGAGACGAGTAAGTACACCTTTTTTGGTTAACTCTTCTGTCATTTTTACTATGGTGGGTGTGACAGCTTTGAGGCGCAATTACAAAATTACCTTTGTATTTACTCTAATATCGTAAAAATCGCTCGATTTTTACAAAGTAATCAAACAGATACATGCCGCAATGTATGGAATTATCTCTAAATAGTTTGTTTTTGGCAGACGATTTGACAATAGATAACCAAACTTTTAGACATCAAAACAATGTCATAACAATTTTGGACCTATCCCAATAATGTTATTTTTCAGTAAGGTTCTGCTATTTTAGATTGCGTTTTTTTTAAGTTACCATCATCCTGCTTAAATTACATAATTAATACTTATCCATTTAATTTAAATTAAAACAAAATAAATAAAGCTCTAATATTTTTGTTTTTATTTGAAACATATTTTACTTATGAATATTAGCTTATATGAACATACAATCTAAAATTTAAAGTATTTATTAATAAATGAAGGAAGTTAGACGTAATTTGATACCCTATATGTTTGATATTTTGGTCACATAAATCTTCTATTAAATATCCTTTGAAAAATCAGCTGATCACCTTATTTCTAGTTATCCAATGATTTACCTTTGTGCACACTGTCTTTAACGTTTTTAGAGTTTACCAAAGATCTTTTAGAGATCTTTACTAGGTAACTTGGGTAGTTAATTGTTGCTTTCTTAATGTCCTTTTTTCCAATGACTACAAACAATATTTGTATTATAGTAACACATAATTGTTCAGTTTGTTTTGTAGATATAATATATTAAAAATCAATTTTCAGTTGCCCTTATTTACATAGGACTGCTGGTGATACAGAAAGAAGATATCACCTTAGGTATTATAAGACATGTATGTGTGTCCATGACACAGATTCTAGAGGATATTGTGTAAAGAATGGGTTACATTGTGCTTTTGCACATGGTAGCCATGACCATCGTCCTCCTGTATATGACATTAAAGAAATACAGGCATTAGAAGCTGCAGATGCAGAAGGTAGTGGGTCTGCAAATGGCCCCAATGCATTAGACAAAGAAAGAAATTTAATGAATGAAGATCCTAAGTGGCAAGGTGAGTATATTGTACCTTATGAGAAATTAAAAATTATTACAATTGTGTACTAATATATTTTGTTTTATAATTTTTAGATACGAATTTTGTACTTTCAAATTATAAAACAGAGCCTTGCAAAAGGCCACCTAGGTTATGCAGGCAAGGATATGCCTGTCCTCAATATCATAATAGTAAAGATAAAAGAAGAAGTCCTAGAAAATTTAAATATAGGTAAGCCATTAAAGATGTTATTTTAATTACATTTGGAAATATTTAATACTTATTCCTGTATTGTAGATCAACACCTTGTCCAAATGTGAAGCATGGGGAAGAATGGGGTGAACCTGGAAACTGTGATGCAGGCGATTTATGTTCATATTGCCATACTAGGACAGAACAACAATTTCATCCTGAGATTTATAAAAGTACAAAATGCAATGATGTGCAACAGTCAGGCTACTGCCCTAGGGGAGTTTTCTGTGCTTTTGCTCATGTTGAACGTAAGTCTAGAATTATTTTATTTCAAATTAAGTGATTTAAAAGCTAAATTATATAAATACATGAAATCATTGTTAGAGTCTTAATATGAGCATAATATTAGCAGAATTGTCTAGTTATCCCTACAGTGTTTGTTGATTAAATTATTTTATTATTTTCTGAACACTTTTTCAGAGATGCTTTACAATTTCTGCTTTGTTCATGGAGGGTTTAGAGGCGAGTGTAAGTCAACAAATAATACAAATGTGTATTAGACACTTTATATGCTTTTTTTTTATATAAAAAATAGCATCGCTTCTAATAAGGATGGTGTGTTACATTCAAAAATAACTTCGATAGATATTTGCTACGCCCACTGAAAGTTTCAACAATAGTAGTATATACACAACAAACACTGGTATACCAAATTTGTATTTTATATCTTTTAATATGGGTATTGGATTACATGACAAACTAAACATTTAACAAAACTAAAATAAGTATATTAAATTATAGAAAAATTTATGTTTTTTCTTACATTTTTTCTTTTTGTAGAAGAATTAGGTGTTTCAAGAGATACTGGGGAAAGTGGCACAAATCTAGCAGATATATTATCAAATGTTCTTCCCCAAACAACGGTGGATTTAAAACTCAAAGAAAAAAGCAGTGATAGTTCTGTAAGTTCTGTGGTTTCTTTATTTCAGTTAAAAAATCCAAATCAAACCAAAATTGTTAATGTATTTATTTTTTTAAATCTTAGCTATAAATACATTTTTGATAACAAACTACAAATTTTGGTCCCTTCTTTTTAAAATTTGTTATTTTATATTGTAGAATATTGTTTTATCTGTTTCATTTAATGTATGTATATAATTTTTATTAATGCTGAATTAAGATTTTATTTTTTAGAACGGTTGTAGCGAGGTAAGCGAGTCGTCATCAACATCATCAGAAATAGGCAATTCCATAAGCAATTTAAATAATAGTCTAAATGCTAGTGCCACTAGCACAACAAGTACAAGTAAAGCCCCAGGATCTCAACTTACTCATAAACATGTCCCCTTCCGGGGTGGACCTACAATAGGAATGGAATTGACAAATAAATTGTTAGCAATAGAAAAAGATCCTACTTTAGGTAAGTCATTTCACCAAAAAAAATCAATTTACCACTCCATTTAAAAATAATAAGTTTTTTATTGTTTGTTCACGGCTTTCCTCATTAATTTTTCCTTTTTTTTTTGGGGTTTTATTTATTTTACTACAATAGCATACCAATAAATTAAAAATAACATATATTTCTCATTACCTATTATAGTGAAACGTCATACAGTTGTCAATATGAATGTGTTTATGTGCAAAATGCATGTATGAACATACAGTAGCAAACTAGCGAAATGAAAGAATGCTACACTATGTAAGCAAGCCTTCGTATTTGCTGGGGGTGGGGATTGAACTTGAGCAGTAAAATAGGTTACCCACTATTCTTCTATTAGCGCACATTTGTGAACGCTAACACTTAAGTTTTTTGATTATTCCTAAAATTATCTCAGTGCTTTGGAGGGTCATGCATGGTTTTGATTTTAGTAAAGATTGATTTACTGGCCTCTGTTGTTTTCTGCTTTTTCTGATATATAAGCATCTTGTTAATAATAAAAGTATGAATGATATATCTACTGTTTACTAGCATTTCTCCTGTTGTGCCTCAAAAATGATGTGTGTCTAATTTTTCAATGCTAGAACACCAAAAACTCAAAAAAATTTTTGAGTTTTTGAAAAAAAAAAAAAATTTTTCTCTTGAAAGTTTTGTTGAAATTTGCCAATATTTCGGAGCAAAATAACATTATGTGTTCTTCATATTTCAGATTCTTTGGAGAGAGAACAAAGGAAACAAACATTATGCTTTGCCGCTTATAGTAGTATAGGAAGCTCATTTTTCAGTAGAGGAAATGATACTGTAGGGAATGTAGAAAGCTTAGTTGGTAAGTATGTCTCTGATTTAATTAAAAACTGTCATCATAAATTGATTTGATATAAACTAAGTATAGTAAACTCCCTCTATATCAAGAACTGAAATGGCAGACCTCATTATATCAGATGATCTTGTTATATCAGACAACAATAATACTGTGCATACATATGAATATGTAGTTTTCTAAAACATTAACTTCCTGTAGTGAAGCTATTCGGAGCAATATAAGATGCTAAATCTTGTTTGAATGGCTTTTTGAAAAAAAGTTGTTTACTTTTATTGCCAGGGATATATTTAAAACAAAAAATCTGTACTTACATTTTTTTTCCAACCACATAATGTATAAAGCATATTTTCAAGGATAACAAAAACTATTGCCTCTGTAATTAAAGAAGTCATTTTTGACTTGTTTGTTGACTTTGTTGACGAAATTTATAGCATATAATAAAGTAACAGGGGATTCACTACGGTTTTCCACATTATTCATTAATGCTAAATTAACTAAAAGTTTTCTGTAGTTGTAGTGAATTAGTAGGGTAGTAGTAAGGGACCTTATGATGCTTTGATCCATCGGTTGAATGTTTTTTTAAACCGTTAATTTTCGGATGGGCTGTACAATTGTCAGCAATTAAAAGACTCTATCGATGTCAAAACTCTGTTCCAATTCAAAAGTTCTTCACTAAAAATCTCTGCTGTCATCCACAATTGTTTATTAAATTTATATGTGACAGGAAGCTGATTCATACCTCTGAAACATCGTGGTTTTTGAGATTTCCCAATGATGACTAACTCCCTGTTTTCGGAACCGGACATGTTGGCACACGCGAGTACAGTTACCCTTTCTTTTGATAACTTGCCACCTATACAATGTTCATTTTTAAATTTGAGGGTCTTATCTCGAGTAAGTTTTAAAAAAAGTCGTAGCTCGTCGGCATTGAAAACATTATCGTCACTTTAATTTTGTCTTATTGTAGGCTATGACTTCAAACAGTTGTTGGTGACTTCTTCGGAAACACTCTTCGCTTCGCCGCACATTTTTCCACACGTAATTTCGTGTCTGGCCTTATCTTCGAAAATCTTGTGTTTATTTTTCAGCATGGTAGAGTGGAACTTGAAATTCCTCTTTCACGACAAACTTCTGCATTCTTCTTACCGTTCTCAACATCTTTAAAGATGTTAACTTTTCTTCTTTAATAAATGATTTTCTTTTAGGAGTCACAGTGTGTAATCTATGTGATTATGTAATCTACAACACAACTTTCAAGACGCAAAATTACAATCAGGAAGTAAACGATAAACATCTACGACAAAAACAGCTGTGAAATGAAATTCTTGTGAAATTTGTTTTATTTGTCATGTTTTTAAGCCTCTTTACATAGTTTATTAGGTGGAATGGTCAAACTCCTACACTGACGCTTGTGAATCATAAATTGTAAATTTCCGACAACACAATATCGGTCGGTAGATTAAACAGAAGAAGTTTATTGCGGGCGGCAGTTAAAAAGGATATTTATTTATAGCCACGACCGGGCCAAAAACGCAAAAAAACACGTTTTTCAATCTTATTTTCTCTCGTTATAACCAAATTTGCCTCACTACAGAGGGTTATAGTTCAATAGAAATTTCACAGGACATCTAATGTACCTCGTTATAAGCGAAACCTCGTAATAACCGTGTTCGTAAAAGAGGAAGTATACTATATAATGATGATATACCTAGAAGAACCAGATAGCTCAATATTTAACTCATTTAATTATCACAATAAATGCCAGGGCTCGATATGTGGCACTGGTGAAAAGATCTAGTTATTTTTCAAGTGTCTAAAAAGCCTCAGGTCAACTCCACCTAAGGATGAGTTTTCATTTAAAGTTAAATTATATATAGTTAAATAAAAAAAACTCCACCTGGATAGAATGAATACTTTTGATAAAATTATGGGTAATAATAGACAGTTGAAGTGTAGCACTGGCTTTTTTACCTTCCTGCTGTACCATACTACACTCCTAATCTACAATAGAGATCTAAAGAGAGGCCATTATTATTACAAAAATAATATAGAATATAGAAAGGGGTAAAGACTGTATATTTTAGCGAAGAATGACATGCCATCAGACTATATAATCTGCTGATGTCACACTATCTACAAATTACAGTCCAAAACTATGGGTGGCAGTGCTGCTGATTGATTAAAAAGTTTATCGGTGTATTAGGAATACAAAACTATTGTTTTATTTTACAGGTAATGCATTAGATGACCTAAACTTAGAAGATTCTTTAAATCTATCGGGAGCACTAGATCGTGACCTAGATACCGACTCACCAACCGTTTCGAATTCAATCTCAGTGGGATTGACCTCTTCGGGTCTTCTAGGCAGTTCAGCCCCAGTCAACATTCCTGGCTCGACGCGTGCCGGTCTCGGAGGTTTCAGCCCGCAAGGAAACAGCCCCATGCAGACGTTTCTATCGGCAGCTAGGTTTTCTCAGCCCGACATTGATTTTTTGAATCACTCACAGATGCAGTTGAGTTCTAGTGCTTCGAAGATCAATAACTATTCTGGCTTCTTCGATTTTCAGTCACAGAGTATATCGCCCAATAATAGGAATCACAATAATTTTAGTAGCATGTCACCTAGTATTAATAGCAATTTGGAAGTTGTCAGGTAAGGACTACACTATATTTTTATATTATGATTAACTTTCTGTGTTTTTTTCAAATATAAAGTTATTTTGAATTATATAGGGTATTTAAAGAGTTTCCGTACATAAAAGTTTCATAACCAAATTGCAGTGAAAGTCTTAATAAGTCTAACTCTCTGTATAATTAAAAAAAAAATAGAATAAAATAACATAAAATCAAATAAAATAACATAGAATCAAATAAAATAAAAGTAAAATGGAATAAAATAGTCAAATAGAATTAAATACAATAAAATAGAATTGAATAGAATACAATGGCATAGTAAAGATTTAAAAAAAGCATATGACACGGTTCCCAGAAAACAACTATGGAACACAATGAATGAAATCGGAATAACTCAGAGGTTAATATAAGCCGTAAAAATCCTTTACAACAACAAGGTAAGAGTTAAAACCGGCAATAAATATTCCAACAAATTTAACACATATTCCTCGCACAAATATTAAAACCATAGAAAAGGAAATGTGAAGGGATGGGAATACCAATCCGGGACAACTTCTTGTACACATTAAGCTTTGCAGATGACCAAGTGGTAACGGCTCAAGATGAAGAAGATCTGTGCTATATGCTCCGAAAATTAAGAAAGGAATACACAAAAAATGGACTGGAAATAACCTAGAAAAGACCGAATATTTAACAACAGAGCAAGAACCAGTGAGAAACTTGGAAATGGACGATGATAGGGAAATTAACGGCACTGAAAAATTCAAATATCTAGGATTCATACTCTCAAAAAATGGAACCATCGAGCAAGAGATAACCAGCAGATTAGCACAGACAAGAACATGTATTAAACAAATGAACGGGGTACTGTGGGGTAGACAGATTACCAGAAATACAAAGAAGAGAATTTATAACACCTTGGTACGCAGTATAATGACCTATGGAGCAGAGAATTGGGTAATAAATAAACGAAACAGGTCCAAAATCACAGCAACTGAAATGGAGTTCATGAGAAGAAGCTGCAGAGTGACAAAAATAGATCGCATCAGAAATGAGGAGATAAAACGAAGAACGGCAGTAGAACAAGACATACTTAGCTACATCGAAGAAAAACGTTTAATTTGGTATGGACATGTGAAAAGAACAGATCATACAAGGTGGATAGCAAAGATTTCGGATTGGAGCCCAATAGAAAGGAGGAAAAGAGGTAGACCCCGAAGATCATGGAGGGATGAAGTAGACCATGGAAAGACGAGACCTTAGAGATGGAGAATGACAGAACAGAAAGGACTGGAGAAGTTGGCTGAAAGAAGGAAGGCGGCGACAGCTGTAAAAATCCTTATATAGATAGATAGATAGATAGATAGACAATGGGATAAAAAATAACAGAATTAATAGACCCCCAGTATACAAATTCAATTTTTTGGTATTTCTTTGTTTTTTTTTGTATTTTAGTTTATTGTCAAGACAATTTTTTATGTAGCTTTAATATATCTTTGCTTTGCTGTAGTTCAGCACATTTGCTTGAAACTACATTAACACAAATCAATTAAACACCAGATAGGCCCAAATTAATTGCTTAGAAAAATGTACATTGGCCCACAAGAGGACATTACAGGAACTGGACAGAACTTTAAAAGATATTAGTGACAATCAAAAACATTTTTGGTGGAGCCATGATTCTCTGTCAGCTGTTCATTATTTAATAATTATTTCCCAATTAATTACTGCAAACGAACTAAATGCATACCCAACATCATCAAATTTATGTCGGCATGTAAAGATGCTCCATTTGTCAACTAACATGCAAGTGTTTTTGCAACAAGATCAAAGTGCAGTTGTGCTTTCGAAGCAGTTGTTAGATATTGGAAATGGTAAAGTTGCTATTGATGTAATATTGATTACCATTAAATTTGTAAAAAAAAATCAGTAAAATATTTGAAATCCGATTATCCAGGTCCGAAAGAAAAGACGTCGCAACCTCTCTCTGTTACGTCAAACATTTAAGCTATATTTATTTTATACCTAACTTTTGGTAGTGGAAAGGTCACGTGGTCGCTAAATCCCGCCCATTAGAAAGAGATGCAAGAACTGTCGCTTTTTTTTCTCTGTCGCACTGGGGGACCTTTTCAGATTGCATAACGGAGTCTAGGTATTATATTTCTATGGTTACATATGACTCTTACCTACTTTTAAAGATGCTTTATGTGTCATTGTACTTACATATTAAGTTTCATGTATAGCGTCTGTTTGGTTTCAAGGATATCTATATTTGAAATTGTATATCACATTTCCTGTAATTGGGCTTTACTGTTGGAAATCTATCGATCTAAATGACAACTGTTTTATTGTTCGATTATATATAATTTCACTTTGCCTATTATTATGTCAGATCATAGTTTTTTATAACGTCATTTTTTTAGGTTAAGAGATGAAATAGCCACATACAGGTTACAGTTAAGCAATAGCGAGGAACGATGTCAACAAGTAAGGAATGCGTGTGATATGTGGCAGAGGGAGGCAGAGGATGCTACTAGGAAGGCCCAGCAGGTCGAAAACAAATTTAGCGAAACTATGACTCAATTTAATAGCCTTAAGCAAGAACTCGAACAATTGCAGGGTGGACCACATATTAGGAGTATCACTAAGGTATGTATTTGTTATTGATTCCTTTTCGGTTTTATCCTATTTCTTCTACAATTTGATTCATATTAATGTTTCTGTAAGTTGAAGCTTGAATCGTTGGTAGCTTTTTGTGTTGTTTAAAATTTCCCCATTTTTCTTTAGTATGTGTCTCTGTATGTGTGTTGCTGATTTCTTGAAAGGCGAATCTACCTCTTATTTACTCATTTTACTGGTGTATGTTCTATTTCTATTTTCATAGAGTTACCGGCCATATCCAACTGGCGAAACGATTCGAAGCTTGGCGTTTAGTTAGTAGAGTATCTGTGATGTGTTGGTTGCTGATAAATTTTGTAGTTTTCTGCTATTTGGACAGGCTTGAACTTCGTCACCCGAATTGATATTTGATGTAACATACTTGTTTAGTAGATTGTCTATTGAAAAACATCGAATATGCGACAGAAAAAACGTTGAATATGCGTCAAAATCGTCGATTATATCTCAAAAAACACAAATTTTTGTCACTTTTTAGGCATAATCGACAGTTCTGATCCTTGCCGCATAATCGATCTATTCAATTATGTATCAAAAGTGTCGAATAACGTCGATGAAATGACAAAAGCGCCAAAAACGTCAAGTATGTCTCAAAAAGTGCCGAGATTTGACGTTTACAACACATAATTAATTGTTTTGACTAAAAGGTCAAAGTATTTTGGAAGTGTCTACTTATCTACTTTGTTTTATTATTTCATTTGGGTTTCCTATTTTCTTTATCGAAGTAAATATTGTTTGAGCTTCGGTAAGAGTTTCGCATGTGGTGTCTAAATCTTTTAATTTTGTTTTAAAATCTCTAGTCTATGGCAATTTGTTGTATCCAACTTTCTTCATTACCCAGTCGTATCTCTATCATCAATACTGAATATTTATTTTTATTTATTTATTTATTTAATACACGGGATAACATCAAGAGTTAAATTTAGAATATACAATATCACAGTTAGGATTCAAAACTTGAAATTACTTATAATATGAAATCAATGTTAAAAAAGTTTAAAAAATGAGACTAAAAATCTTATATACTAAAAAAAAACAAAGAAAATATAACAATAACAAAATTCAACAATCCCAATATACATATCACAAAGCAAGAGCATCTTTTAACTGAGTTTAAGTTATATTGAAAATATTAAAATCCAGAACAATATATACCCCCATGTATCTATCCAATGGTTGTGAATAACATAGGTTGTTCTGTGGAAAGGCATATTGAAAACATTGTGGTAACGTAGAGCTTGATGGGGAACATTAAAGTTAATCTGGCTTAACAGGTTTGGACAATAAATAAATGCATGTATGATCTTGATATATAAATATAGCTCTTGACATATCACGACGGTTCTTGAGTGAGGGTAAAGATAATTGTTGTTCAATACGGGAATAATCATGATTTTCAATAGTAGTGTGGACATGGTAAGCACAATATCTCAAAAATTTATGTTGAACTCTTTCTATGGTGTCAATATTGTTCTGAAAATAGGGTGACCAAATAACTAGAACATATTGTTGAATCAATGCCGAAATACTCGCAATTCTAGTTACGAAACCAAGAACTTTAGAAAATTTAGTTTGTGTCTTTATTGAAATAGAGTTTATATGGTCAGTTTCTCATTGAAATTAACAACGCCCAAATCCCGAATAGAAGAAACATAATTCAGTGGCTGATTATTTACGAGGAAAACTTATAAAACAACATTTTTCTACATTTAAATGGAGTTTGTTCTGATTGCACCAATTTTGTAGTCAGTATAAGTTATCTTGTATCAAGCCTTTTAAGCTATCTTTAACTTTCCAAAATTTCAAGCCACCTGCCAACATTAGATATTAGCTATTTAGGAAACAGGAAGTAATGTCGTTAGTGAAGATATTAAAAAGAAGTGTAGAAGTGTGGCCTCCTTGAGGAACTCCAGATGTTACTGAGATACTGTCAGACAGATGACAACCTCTCTTGACTCTTAACTTCTCCCAGATATAGAGTTTTTAATCCATTCAACAAACCTAACATGAAAGCCCTACATTAATTAATTTACCCAAAAGTATTTGGTGATCTACACGATCAAATGCTTTGGAAAAATCTGTGTATATTGCATCTACCTGTTTACAGTCTTCCATATGAGATAATATATCAGATTGATAGCACATCAAGTTTGTTGCAGTGGATTTTTTTGCTATGAAAACCATGTTCTGATCGAGATATTAAGCCTTTACATACCAACAAAAGTTGCTTCATACCAACAAAAGTTGCGTTGTTGGTATGTTGCTCTAAGACAGTAGAAGAGCTTAGGGATTGCAGATTGTATAAATTGCTAGCAATAATTTTCAAATTGTAATTCAATATAGAGGTTTCCAGAGATCTATTAAACAATATAACAAATAGTATTACAAGTATAGACACATTAATAAAAAAATAGGCACTTCATCTGGACCATGGACATATAAACATAGATGGACACAGCAATAAGATACCTTAACACACAATGTTTTGAAGCTTCGATAGAATGTGATGCTTCCGCAATGAGCATAAGCGTGCTTGAATTTTTACTCGCGGGTAATTATTCAGATTTTAAAAATTGGAAGTAGTAATAATGTATAAAAACACGTTCAAAGAATTTAAAAAAACGAGAGTTTAACTATTAACAAATCACGTCTTTATAGAAAAATTATAATACAATTTTATTTGCTTTAAAATTAATACAATAAAATATAGTTGAATTCAAGTTAATTTTTAATAGGTATCAAAATAATGCTACAATAAAAAATCTTTATGTTTTCTCCTAAATTTGCTACCAAAATAGTTCGATCGTCAATATTATTTGGAAACCACATAGAAAAATAAATGAGTTTTATTCATTTCACTAATTTATTTGCATCCATGAGAAATATTAAATTAAAAAGGTACTAAACAGATCTTTTTTAATCATATGATGTTTACTTACAATATATAAGTAAATATTTCGTTTATTTTATTTCACTTTTCACAAATATCACTCAAAATACAGCCAAAATATCGAAAAACAACTTTTCCCTCATATACTGTAAAAAGTAAACAAACATGGAACAGCATTTGAAGTTTGACGTAGATCCATAAAAAACAGAGAAATGTAAACAACCGTTGCCATTTATAAATAGTTTTCAGTGCTTCTACATATAAAATAATTGATTGATATCTATTATACGCTATTATTAAATAATAATGCACACTATGTGCACACTTTATATTTGATTACAATTAAATATATTAATCTAACCAATAAATTATTATTTTGGTTTGATAGCACCTGTAGAGTATAAAATACGGAGTAATATTTTCAGCGACTCGCGAATAAGAAATTTTAAAACAAAACGTTACAACAGTTGAAGGTGCTGAGAATGTGACCAATTGAAATAATTTTGACTACACAATTTTATGTAAATAACTAAGTCCATCTGTGTTTATACGTCCATGAATCTGGACCATCCATAAGCGTTTTGGGCAGCAACTTATTTCTATTTGTTTCTTTCACATCGAGGTTTAAGCAACATTCATAATTATGTTGGATGCTAGGATCTACAAGGGGATCACTGGCTTTTAAGATATTTAGCTCCCTAACATTAGAAAAAAAAATGTTCAATGATAGATGATAATTTTGTAGATCTTACTCACTTCCCATTTTTTTGTTTACCCCACAGTAAATTAAATTTTGTTTACAGGTATCAGAATTGAGTAAGTTATCTCTTAGCGTGCTGAAAACTCTACATGCACAACTTAGACAAGATCTTGAAGAAATAGAAAAAGTTTTATATAGAGAAACAGCTTCTAAATGTATGGTAAGTGAATATTTTTTATTATAAAACTTTTATGCTGACGTCTCTCGTCTTACCAAACATATTTAAATAAATATTTATGAATTTGCGTTGGAGTCATCTCGTTTACATGCGGATATTTAATTTTTTTAACGCTAAGATAATGACGCTCCCTACAAAAATGATTGTTTTGGTTTATAAATGGGTCAGGGGCGGAGCAAAGGGATACATCCTTGTAGATAGTTTGTAAAAACTACCTTTATCAAAATTAATCGACTGGTGAATTGTGTTTCGTGAATTTTCCGGATATATGTTACTGATATTTGTTTTTTTTTATCTATCCAGGTATGTGAAGAAAAAAATAGGACAGTAACTTTAAGTTGCAATCATTTCGTTTTATGCGACACGTGCTCTAGTACTCAAAGCGAGTGTCCATACTGTCAGACACCCATCAACCTCAACAACATGTGAAGAAGAGGTATTTAGGCTTGCAAAGGGGCCACCCTGACCTCTAATTGTAGTGGCGGAGGGCGAGATGACGACTCCCTTTTATTTTCAAAATAAGACAGCTCCCGCACGCGGTCCGGATGGCCATTTTTGCAATTTAACAAATTTTTAAATTGATGATTGTCTAGTAGGTTTATTCAACAAATTTTTTTCTCCTTTTTTTATTAATTGTAAGTCTAGGCGTGATTTTTTAAATGGTTCGTGAATGTGTTTGTGCATCACTCGTATGTAAGTTCGGCTATTGTATTTTTGGCGTCTGTTCAGGCGGCCACAACTACTTATGTACGTAAAAGGATGGAAATTATAAAATGTTGCACTTGTTTCGACCCCCATTCGAATATTTTTGTTTCGTAACACCATCTGATACTTAATTGTAGTTTTAAAATATTTGAATATGCTTTAAACTATTGTAAAAACGGGAACTTCAAAATGATTTTCATTTGTAACTTCTAAATTGCAAAAACACAGTATTGTTACTTTATAAAGTTAAATAAATAATCTTAAATTGTCGCTTTTACCTTCAGTTAAAGAGAGAGAAGCTGATCAAGACCTGTTCTAGAACAGGTCCTGATCAGCTTTGAACTGGTCGAGAACAAATTGTTTGGTGCAAGAAAGACCCTTTGAACTGAAGGTAAAAAAAAGTGCAGAATGAATCATAGATTTTTTTATGAAAATTTTACATGCGAAAACTGTCCAATTTGAGCTAGAATGCGCATATGCTATTTACTCATGCCTCACGTTGAAATTATGGATTGAGGTTACTTGAAGATGGAGATTAATTTTTAGTACTGACTTTTATTCGTGGCGCCCTGTATGTTCCAGTATGCAAAACAAAAGGCACGCGCCATGTGATCTACAATTTTCAGTGAATATAAAGAAATATCTGTTCTAAAACAGTTATATAAAAGCGCAATTGCAAGAAATTCACCAATATGGTTCGACTTCGGAAATCGTAATCAAAATACGAATTAAAATTTTAGTTTTCGAGGTTTCTGAAAATGTCAAATATAATTTAATTAAAATTGTGATTTATTCTCATTAAATATAGTAGTTAATTAAATGCACTAAGGAATGAATGATCAATATAACATACTGTCTTCTTGCTTTTGATGTTAAGGATTTATGACTCTTGAAGTGTTCAAATATGTAGGTAAACCATTAGAATGTAATGCTAGTTATATATTTTCGACTCTTCAAGACCTTGAAAATATGGTTTGCTATTATTTTATACATTATGTGGTGTAAAATTGAAGCAACCCACTTTTTGTCTATTAACCCATTAATGCCCAAAAATAAATTTTTATCAAAACGAAATCAAAACTTCAGAATGAAATAAAGAGAAGTTTTTTTAATAGCAATGTGCAAAATTTACATTTTTTTCCTTTGTAACTGCCTTTTTTTACGTATCATACGCTGGGCAATGAAGGACACAATATTTCATAAAACATTATTTATGTTAAAAATTTTACTGTGGTATTTGACAAAACATTGCTCAGGATGAAGTCTTCTGAACTGGTCTTCCTCATCACTTTCGGCATAATCTCTGTTAGAATCATTTCTGTTATTTGGATAATGTACCGTGAGTTGAACTTCGTTACACTGGTCAATTTCCTGAGCCAAAGTATCGTCATCTCCTAAACTCTCATATATTTTTAACAATTCCTCTGCATCTTTGGGATCATTAGGATTATATTTTTTCGTCATTTTTTCTAAAACAGAAACAATATTGATTAATTACCACGATTTCCCAGCGTATTATATATCATACGCAAGAATCAAAGACCTTCAAAATACTCACCAGTATAAAGTTCAATACTATTTAATTCACTATTTGATATTTAGGAGCCTTACTAGTTGAACACTACAAAATATTTTTGTAGTGTTGCAAAATAAGTCGAAAAATTCTTACAAACTCTCATAAAATGTGACCAGTGAACTATAATAGAACCTAGGAAAACTTAGCACAAAACTAATCACCCTTTACCGCCAAGTGGTTATAAATTTCTAATGTTATGATAAACCTTTTAACATCTATTCTTTAACCTATATTGGGAAAACAACTGTTTACTTTTTTTTTCTGGCCAGTAGATGGCGAAATATGTAGCAGTGTCTTGCGTATTACATAAAATAATTGGGTGGGCATTAATGGGTTAATATGTTGGATTTGAATCTCATCTTTAACTTAACAACCATTAAATCATATTCTGGCAATCTAAAATTTAGGAAATAAGTTATTGAATAATAAAATATGTATATCTAAATCACGAAAAGTATTCATCAACGTAATCTCCAATCTCTTTGTGTCCATATGTCTCCAGCAATATCAATTTTGGGCCAATTTTATGCAGTTATATTCTATTCCTTGATTGCAAAGCACGCATTGATTTCTTACCTTTCAAAAATCCTTTTGAAGTTTCCTATAAGTTTCATTATAGAAAAAGTCCTCCCTAAAATATTCTCTTGTATTTTAGGAATTTTATAATAGTGTCATATTGATTTTAAAACCTTTTTACCTATTCAGATGTAATTTTTTATATTATGCCACTTTGTACTTTACCTGCTTTATTTTCTTTATTACCTAGTTTGATCTGTTGTAGTTACAATTACATCGCAGAATTTCACAGCATAAATATAAGTTTAATTATATTAATATAATTATGTGAATGATCGTTGTACAAAAAGAAAAAAGTGCAAAAATCAAAATGATGAAAAAGCAATAATGTAAATTAACTTTGTAACTGATAAAGTAGTTGGGCTGTCCTAATAGAAATGCATTTTTAATAGACTTTTTTGAAATTCTCAGTATACACTTTGTTTTTTTTTTATTTGTATTAATCCATATTAAAGTAAAGAATGACTTGCGCACTATCGGCGATGCAAAATATTATTTTTGGAATTGATTGTATTTCAACACTTGAATTTAGGTCTTATACTGACATTGAAGCAAAGTTAATGCTTTAAGGAAGGCTTTTTTGTTGTGCAAATTGATTTTATAAAGTTAAATTTGATAATTTGACTGGGTATAATAAAGCTAACAATAGTGCATGCATAATTTATTAATTTTCAAGTCTGATCCTTAGTGAAATAAGGTATTGATGTGTATAATATTCTATTATTTACCAAAATTGCAGAGTTATATTAAAAATAGTTCCAATTCTTTTTCAAAATGGATATTCTCGATTTTTGTGTCGAATTTGATATCGGCCTTACAGAATTGTAAATGTTATATCAAGGACAATGTAAATAATCTTTACTTCGAGACATAATTTAAAAGGTTTATTTAACTTTCAGGTTTCAGGACATAGTCCATGTATTTATTGATACTTTTTGGGCGATTTTTTTACTAAAAAAGTGCTACGCCACTGGATTTAGAGTGCCTCCTACAGCTGTGGCTAAAATTTTGTAAAAATACATAATTAACATTTTAAACTCTGGAAAACAATCACAATTAACACCCTGCATCAACAGATAGCCATGAAAATTTTATATTTTAATTTAAAAAATAATAAAGTAATCAAATACCCTACTTCTGAGCAAAATATAAAATGTTTATTCTAATTTTTAAGACATACTACAAGACTTTTTCGCAGTCATAAATAAGAAACTTTTATTAGCAACTATTTTATTAAAAATATTACTGCGCTACTATATTTATTTTGCCTCCGGACTCCGATTAAAAGCATGAGTGAAACAATGTATGTTTTAATTTTGTTATTAATAACTCATTTTTTTATGAAGTTTTGGTCACAATTACGTGGAGGCACACCGAGTTCCTCATTTATGACCAAGAAAACCTAAAAAAACTAACTGAAACAAAAAAGAAAATTGGAATAAATATAAATTTTATTCAGGTATTTTATTACTTTAATTATTGATGCTGATACAGGCTGTGCATTTGCCTGTTCTCCAAAGTTTAAATTGTGCTAGCTTGGTTTCTAATTCATTTTTTTTAATGAACACATTTTGGTCATAGTTTTTTTAAAGGGCACTATGAATCTAATCGGTATAGGAATCAAATTTCACAAGGTGTTTTCAATCAAAATGGATGGCATTGTATTTAGCAAAATTATATATTCACAGCTAATTATATAACTTAACGAGTATTAATGTAAAAGATTTTGTCAAAAAGTAAAAGATGTCATCAATTAGAGTCGAGCTGGGTCAGCTGGTTCATTTTTTAACTTATAACATTAAATTCGTCGAAGACAAGTTAATGGGGTACACAAATATACCATATCGAACCACATTCTGTTCATCGTACTGTAGTATCTCAATGTTTTTAAAGGACGAATTCACTTACTCACATATTAGAAAAATATGGTCCGTAACTCAAAAACTTTTAATCAGCCAACAAATTGAAAAGAAGTGATATATTTGTGTAAACCCCAGTGCATATCGTTTTTTAAAAAAATCTTACAGATCATGTTAGGTTAGATTCTTAATTCAAACATCATGAACCAAAGATTTATTTACTAAAATAAAAAACAAGTTTAAAAATGTATTACAAAAACAAGTCTATTTTATGGAAAACGATTAATAAAAACTTTATTGTAGGATATCATGCATACATTTTAGAAATAATTCCAAGCATGATGTAAAATCGAGATGAATTGGCATTGTGGACTAGATAGACTACCCAGCTAATAGTTGATTTTTAAAATACTAGCAAAAACTTCCATAAAAATTCTCATTACTTTATATTAGAAGGAGTCGTTTGTTCTATCATGATTTTAATTGACTGTTGCTAATGTCTTTATAACGACCGAAATGCAAGTGTTGTAATGTGTATTATTTGTAAAACCATCAGTATTTTTAACAATTGACAGAACTGGAAGCTTTTGACATAGAATACACCTTTTTTCCTACGATTTTTGTCAGTAGTTGTTAAAGAACTATTTTAATAATATTGTAATGTAAAACTTAGTCAGTAATATCCAAATTGTGAAGAATAATTCATAAATGTT